TCAGCCACCACCTGTAGTCGAGAATCTGATAAGGAATGGTGGCTCCGATTCAGTAAATGGTCGAGGGCACAGGGCATGGTGACTCGGATGTTGCAGTGGAAGCACACTGAGCCTCGTGCTGAACTCTATTTTGCAGCAGACAACGTATTGTACCGCATCGTTCAAGCCGCATGTTTCGCTGAGGATCTTGAGCTGATCAAGCAAGGTCAACCAGTGAAGCCTGGGTCGAAGGTGTATCAGCTTGCACCGTTTCTGGATGAGCATGGAGTGCTCAGAGCCGGGGGACGACTTCAGCACAGCGAGTTGGCGTATGGAGCCAAGCACCCAGTCCTGTTAGGCAAACATCATCTGACCGAGTTGCTGTTGGAGAAAATGCATGTTGAAAGGATGCACCAAGGTGTAGAAGGAGTCTTGTCGTTCATCCGTCAGAAATTCTGGATTATCGGTGGTCGACGGGCGCTACGCAACATTACTCAGCGATGTGTTACATGCCGCCGCTACAAGGCTAAGGCTGCCTCAGAAGTCTGCCCGCCGCTGCCGGAAGACCGAGTTGTTCACGAGAGGCCGTTCGCAACTACCGGCATCGACTATGCTGGTCCGTTGTACGTGCGCCGTGGTGAGTCATCTCCGAAGGTATGGATAGCATTGTTTGTGTGTGCCACCACCAGAGCAGTTCACTTGGAGGTGGTCGATAGTTTAAGTACCGAGTCATTCTTGATGGCATTTCGGAAGTTTGTCGCGAGACGTAGTTTGCCGTCTCGGATCAGGTCTGACAACGCTACAACGTTCAAGGCGGCCTCTGACAAACTGGGTGTGCCATGGATGTTCAATCCTCCAGCTGCACCATGGCATGGAGGCTTCTATGAGCGAATGGTTGGTACAGTGAAGAGTGCCTTGAAAAAGGTAATGGGAACAGCGTTTCTGAAGGTCCAGGAGCTTGAGACCCTCTTGTATGAGGTTGAAGCAGTGGTGAATAGTCGTCCGCTAACTTATGTGTCTGATAGCCTGGATGAGCCACCATTAACCCCTGCAATGATGATGGGTGACATCTGGATGTCGTCAGAGAAGCCAGCAGGTACCCTGGACGCTGCGCAGATGTCATCGAGATTGCGTTACCTCAGTCGGACACTGGAGCATGTCAAGAATCGTTGGGAGGTGGAGTACCTAAGTCAGCTGAACAAACACCAACAGACCATGTCGCGCCCTTTAGCTGTGGGTGATGTTGTCTTTGTTCTCGATGATACCAAGCGCAAACAGTTCTGGCGTTTGGGACGGATCATCGAGTTATTCCCTGGTCGAGATGGTAAGCGTCGTGTTGCCAAGGTTAAGTTGAGTACCAGTACCCTGTTGAGGCCGATCCAAAGGTTAGTGCCGTTAGAAGTATCGTCACAGGACGTGGCTCCTGGGCTTGCAGATACCGCTCAACCTGCTATCGTCCCTCAGCAGCCAGCGTATGAACCGTCAGCACCGTTACCACCACCACGGCAGCAGGAGATAACGCGTTCTGGGCGCGTAGTCAGAGCCCCGGATCGTTTTTGACTTGTGTGCATTGTTGTACGGCGGTGAGAAGCCCTTTGGTGGGGAGAATGTTGTAAACCACCAGTTCTCAATTGGGAAAGGCCTTCGCGCTTATGGCATTGTATTCGTTGAAATGTTGTATTTCGACTACGCCGTACCGCTGATGTTGCTGCATGGCATACGCTATATGCGTTGTGTGCGTTTTGCTGTATACGCTGTTATGTCCAGTTTTATCTGCTTATGTTTTGCATGTACGCTGTTTTTGCATGCTATAAATAGCTGGTGTTATTAGTGTTCATTGTTAATTATCAGATGAAGTGAAATATACTGTGTAAAGGAAAAGAGTTGTCCTCGTGCCGTGTGGTCGTACGATCCTGACAATTTAGAGAATCTTGCAGGGTTCACAACAACTTCCTTGTATTTGCAGTGCACCCGAACTACACGTGCATGCACCTGACCTGCTGGTAATGCACCCCTTGCCACAGACCCAGACCAGGGATCAAGAGGACACGTACTTTGTACAGTGTGTGTGTGTGTCATTGTACCTGGTGTTGTTGATTGTTTACTTGGCTTTGACAAAATCGTCGCTATTCTTAGCTACCACGAGTGAACATGGTGAAGGTGCACTAATACTAACAGAACGTACACGATATCTGCCGACAGATGGGCCTCATCGATAACACAACTGACACCGGAGTAAATAGATCCCTGAGGATTATTCTTTTACACACATCTGTCCATCCGAACATCTATTTTTAAAAGCCACTATTGCGCCTCGGGGAACATCCTTTCAATAAGCAGTAACTGATGCATTCGCACGAAATGCTGAAGCATGTAGGGAACCAATATGGATGGTTGCTAGTTGGCAATAGCATGTACACACACTCAACTAATGCCGAAAACGAATGAAAAGTGTTCTACTTGTGTCGAATACAATGTCGTGTAAATCCTAAAATGCCTGAACTCATTATTACCAGAGATTTGACCCGTTTTCTTCTTTAGTACAGTTGTTGTCTCAGGCCAGTGATAATTATCATGTTCTGTGATTGCCCATATAAGAGGATTAAAAGTAAAGTAAATTATCGTATATTCAACATAAAAAAAACAGCCCAGCCACGGTTGTACAGTAATTGTATGTACATGTATTTATACAGTGCTGGCAACTGAAATCCGACCCCCTGAGCGGTGGGTTCACATTCTTTCCGATGTGAGCGCACCGCTCAGGGGGTCGGATTTCAGTTGCCAGCACTGTAGGCTGTAATGGTGTCCGTAAACTACTTGACACATTTGATCGGATTTCAGTGAGCAGCTGCACAAAATCCGTTATCAGGTTTCGCGCATTGCGGGGACATGTACACCCTTTACGGCAACACTAACTCGCGTTGGCTGGTACAGACGGCATCACAGCGTGCCTGGCTTACCCATTGAATGCTGGCACTGACCAATGAGTACTGTCTACTGAGCACCAACCATCAGCCACGACCCTGGCCTGGGTCCGAATACCAACCTGCGTCATCACCTGTTATTACGCAATCCACCTCTAGAGCTCTCCCATCCGGTGACACACTGTGCAAACCCGCATCGTGTAGCTGATGATGACAAATCAACGATACAGGTACGCCTACCGTCGACGTCCAGTATGTAAATTAACCCATACCCTACATACGTACTTATAATCATGCGCGTGCGCACTTTTCAGATTGAAGATTGAAGATCGGGCTGTTCTATTATAAGCCGCTTCTGGCTAAATAGAGCGCGTGACACCACTACACATAATACCACAATAGAACGAGGTCGTGTTCGTGCATGTACATTGTACATGTACACGTGCCAGGAAACGAGATTGTCACCCTCCTCATTCAATTATGCATGATGGACCAATTGGGAATAGAACTGCACTGCATCACTGCATGGGTCGAAACACTTTTTACAGTACAATGTCATGTACATGTACACGTGCACAGGGCGTCTGGACTACAATGGTGTTTAACCATCGAGAACTCGCCGCCCCTGATACAAACTACTAGTATCTCAGACGGCTTCCAAAGATGATCCCTATTCCATTATTTTCCTGTCTAGGGCAGATGTGCCTGTTGGCGTAATCCGAGACCTCTTCTCAATCTATAATGTTATAGTTTTGCAGATATATTCCCAGTAAGCCATGAACGGAGACCCCCTCGACTTAGGCCTCGGCCTTTGGGGAATCCATAAATAATAAAATAATAAATAAATAATTAAATAAAAAGACCAGTCAGCAGTCGGTCTGATCATGTGCTTTGAGACTTCCCACACGTGCATGCTGGTGTACGTGTGTGACCGATTCGGTGGAGAACCAGATCCTAAACAAGAAATTGTTGTTTTCGGATATTTGAGACTCGCGAGATGCTGTTTGAAACCTTCCCAATTTTCTCAATCCCACCGGTTTAATCGTTGCAATATGATCCATCCACGGCTCTTGACTTCTTGAGACTTGAGCCTTCTTGATATGCGTTACAGACTGGTCAGTACATTGGCTTGATCTGGACAGAGTGAACAGCTTGATGCGCGATGACGGGCGTGTTGTGTCAGCAACAGAACACCCACGAAAATAGCTGGAATATAATACTGGGCATGTGGTTGGCGGTGCGGAGACTGTCCCCTGCCGACTGTAGCCCACTGCAGTCTGGGAGGTCAGGCAAGGCAGACGGACTTCGGAGCCCATGGCCTTGCAGGTGTCACCAACACTCGCGGTGGACGTCCTGAATGATAACACTGCTGTACCATACACAGCCACAGAAGCAACAGCGGGCATCTGCAGGCCAGAGGAATGTATCCCGAATGTATCCCGTTGCGAGCCAGCCAGCCAACGCTGAATGTATCTGTCCAATCGGCGGCAGAGATGATTTTGGAGGGGTTACGGCGAAGAGGTTGTTCCGCATTTAGCTTGCTCATATTGGAAGGGTCGCCCCTCGAGGAACAGCTCTCCAAGCACCACTCCACTCAGCCAGCTACAGTCTACAGACGTGTGGATGAACACGACAACGGAGCGTATTTCGAGCCACATTATCATGGGAGGGTGGTCTCGTCTTACAAAGCATGCATACAGACAGCACTGCTCCGTAGATCTATTCCATGTGCGCAGGATTTTGATATGCGTGAAGGTCCACCGCACAGGGTCGGATTGAGATTACACGCAGACAACAGTTCTATTCTAGGGTGTGTTAGTGTGCATGGCATGCAGTACCCATAGGGCCATACAAAACATGCACACATACACACCAAACCTAGGTATGCGTACGCCTGCTAGACTGTGCTGGCCACGGCGCAGTGCTGGTCGCTGACCGTTCACACCTCTCCCTCGTAAACGGCGATCAGCACTGCAGCGGCAATGCATCAGGCCAGCATACCGGCGATGCTGGCCCGTCTCCCGTTTCAAAGGGGGGGGAGGGGGACGCCACCCCATCTGCAGTAATGGCCAGGCCTAGTGCCGATTCTACTCCGCGCGTCAACGCTGGCAGTCGCCTGGCTTGTCTGTAAGGAGACTGTTACAGCATTTACTACTCTGTCACTGGACGAGAGAGCTGCTGAGTGCAACGGAAACCCCCAGCACACCACAGAGCTGACAGACGTATAGACCCGGAGCAGACAAAACCCTTCAGACGGCCACGGAGTTGGTAGTCAGTTGAACTTTGTACCAGGAGAGCTGAGCCTGTATGCTGTGCCCAGACGAGGAAGCATCAAGTCTGAGATTGTTTCTCTGTGACAGCAATCCTGATAGATTGGTGTGGTAGTAATCCTCCTGAGCGAGTTACGGGTGTGAATGTAGCAGCAGCCTGATGACGCTGGCCACTCGGAAGCGCAGTGCAGATGGTGTTCGAGTGCTTGGAACTAGTTTATTTGGACGAGTTGGACAACGTTCCTGAAACCGGTGATGACTGAGGTGCGCGAGCGAGCCAGGTATTTCCCGAGCTCAGATTCTGGTCGACTGACCACACACGTGGAGAAGATTATTCCGACGACACTGGCTGAGCCGAAGAAGACCACTCGAACGAGATACGCCGACTATCGAGAAGAAGAGGTGAGTTCTGATATGTCACGTGCTTGTGGTGAAATACAGAACGGGTAACGTCCAGTGCGTATGGTATGTTTTATGTAGTTTTATGCGTCCCAAAAATGCGTTTGCGCTATACTTGTCATGTGCTGTATTTCGCTCAAGGGCCAGGAGGTCTAATGGCAGGAAAGTGGGTGCAATTTGTTGGCAGTGGTGACCACCCACTGCATGGACGCATGAGCGTGTGGGATGGGGTCGGCATTGTGGGCAGAATAATCGGGAGTTCATGGAATGTCGTGGCGTTCCGCAACTTTGGTTGAACACACAGAAGGCGAGCAAGGTAACCCTGGTAGATTCAGCTGTACTCCCTGTGCGGATAGGTACAGTGTAGGTTCAGACCCCGGTATGACAACTTCACCATGTCCCACCACCAAGACGAAATCCGCACACAGTAGCCAAGGCATGCTGGACTAAATTGGTTTAACCCTTTGGAGTCCATAACTTTTTAAGAAAACCCCTGGAATATCCGTGTGATTGCAATGGATCCTTTGAAGGGCATCAACGAGAGAAGTGGACGCGGCTAGCATCACAGCCAGCAATGGTGGGATGCGATCCTTGCAGCACCATAACGTTTGCAGATATGTGCGCGAGTGGGAACGCGGGGAAGGAAAAGCCAAAAGCCGGAGATTACCATCTCCGGGTCGAATGTCTGCCTGGCACGGCCGCTGGAGGTCGGTGCGCTATGTGCACTGCAAAGCACCTGCGTCATAGGACTTCCCGTCCGCATGCTGCTGCTGTCATTCCACCGATGTGTGTCACGAATCACTCTTCGCACGTCTACCAGAATAGGTCGGCGTTGGGGCGTTGATGTACTGGTACTCCTCAGGATGTTAGCAGCATAGCATTACATTGTATTTGTATGTAGTACATTGTCATTGTAATAATACTACCTGGTGACCGAATCCCTTTGAGACGGTTTATGTGCAGAGGGAAAGGAAGAATTTCGACTGCACGCTCTTTGGGACATCTGTCCCAGGCCCAAACAGACAGTTGAGAGTACAGTCATGTAGATCTACCTGCAACTGGATTTTTCAGGGCATGTATGTGCCCACTGCCCCCTCACTGCCACTGGCCTCAGTGATCGTGAGGTAGAAGTATGGCGCTGTGTGATGGCGATAGACCCAGGTGATGACAGACGAAACATACATGGACTAACCCCTTGTCGTTGTGTATCTACAAGCGCGCACTTCGGGGGCCCCATTGGCAGATGCCCGAGAAGCTAGCGTGCCTTTCGTTGGCGATGAATGCGTCTCAAGCCCCCTGTCGACCAGTGTCCCTAATCATTGATCCTGTCCACTTGGATAGGCATTGTACACCAAGTGAGCATGAAGTGCCAGCGAGGGGTATTTTTTATCGCTTTCCAAGGACCGGCTGCTAAAAATACACATCTTTTCTCAGGCGCGTTACCTGGCATTTTTCTTGCTGCCGCCCGTTCCAAGGAGAGTTTTCTCTCCAGCTATCCTACAGCTAAATGTGTGCACAGGCATTGCCCTGTGTTCGTGTCCAAGTGCCGACGACGATGGCGCAACTTTGCTACATGTAGCGCAATCCTTATCTTCATGCGGAGGAGAGATGGATGTGGCATTCGTATCTCGCTGTGGCGCGCACAGCCCGTTGTTGCCCAGCAAATGGTAGAATAAGACTGGGCACTGCACTTTCTATTACGGTACAGATACTCAGCGGCCGTACCTCTGTGTAACCGCTGTTCATGCTGTTGGTCTTATCAGGCATCTCAGTGTAGTTCAGAGAGGAAGCCCCAGATCTCCGTATTCAAAAACCTAACTCCCTCTAGTCCCTGTCTTTATACGCCACTAACTCGTGCTATCATGTGCTTTAAATAATTGTACATAAGGGTCAGACCGTGGCGTGGGTTATCTTTACCTACTTGTACTGTACACTGCATACAGCGCATTCACACCAGAATAACCATTCCCATGCATCCATAGGCGCTAGGCCTAGTGCCCATGGATACGTGTGAATACAGTAATAATATCTGAATGCCGCTACATGGATATGATTGTACATTAAAGGCTAGGCATTCTCTGCGTAGATCTACCCTTTGGTTGATAAATATGGTGGTAAAGACACACCTGGCAATATGGCGGTAAACACACGCTTGCCCACACACGCTCTACCCTACATGAAACAATATTGCCAACTGGTGACAGGTTGACACTTTGGCAGCACTAGTCCTAAGTAGTATTAGCACTGGGTGCACATGTACTGATGATGTAATAACCCCATGACCAGTTGACACCACTAAGTAGATCACTGCACTCAGCATAGTATCTAGACATGTGATATAAAAAACGGTAATGTGAATACCAGGTCCTGGCACTGGTGCCAAGAAAGCAGTATGTTCACTGCTCCTGGGAGTCAGCAGACTGCTTGCATCTAACGCTGGAGTGGACTGTATTTCGTTATGCATGCTTCCGCACATCGTTAAACCTGGGGCGACACTGTTCATGCACACGTGAAAAATGACATTGTAATTGCTGAAGAATCCTTTCCGAAACTCAATATCAACAATCATCTCTGTGTGGTGGGCAGAATAATTATGCCGAGAGCAGAATTAACCATTTACTGAGCATTGTCGTCAAGGCCTATTTATAGTAGAGTCAAAGTGTGTACAGAATAACACTCAGTTACAAAGGCTTCCGTGGTGCCTCAAGAATAGCAGCATTCAAGAGTCTCATGCAATCTGCAAAGAGCTTGAAGTTGAAAGAGTAGCCATCTTTGAGCCCATACACTGCATGCTAAAAGAGATCTTGCCCGCGGCCTTCCCGGTACGGATATCACGAACACAGTTATAGCCCGCCGCCTAGAGCAGTAGCATAAACCAGGGCGGTGCGACCCGCAGCTAGCTACCATGCCCTGATCTCCAACATACAGGAATCCACTGTCCGCGGGTGCGTGTACGTGGTCACACATACGCGTACATGTACAGGCGCATGTACATGTACGCGTATGTGCGTTTGCGTTGTAACATGGTTTACATTCGCCACAGCACAGTACCTGGCACCCTGTGGTACAGACAGAAGCAAACGCAGTGCGAATCGTAATCAATGATAATTACGTGAATTACGTGACTAGTGTTAGCGCCTATTATCACGACATTGCAGTTCATCATGGCTGTAACTGGGTCTTTGGGTTGATTCTCGAGATCTCAACAAAACACGGTTATGCTAAGGGCATTGTTGCCTCTTTGTTGTCAGGTGACTGGGCTGCCGAACGGGAGAACGTTTTTTAAAAGCCACTTGATGACCAATGCTCCAAGGAGACATATCAATGTCCTGGAGAGCGATCAACGAACAATGAAACACTGACTGACTGACGGGCGGGTTCAGTTTTGGGTCCTGCGTTGTCTGATTGGGCGACATTCCAGACGTAGATACAGTCATGTACAGCCTAGCCACACGTGGCAGTCTGGGTCATGCGCGGTCATGCAAATCAGGCGACTTAGTAGTACATCGTGGGGCAGGCATTCACTGGTGCTTTTGCACAGGAAGCAGTTTCTCTTGAAACACAATCCCGTGAAATTATTCTATTTTTGAGAGGGGGGGGGGGGGGGGGAACTTTCCTCTTGTTGCCGACATTATTCAAGTTTGGATGCTGAGATTTACTTCCTGAGGTTTTCCTCCATTATCACGTGTGCAATATTGGAATCAGGTCGACCTGCGACTGAACACCGCTGTTGAAGTTCAGATTAGAATATCAGTACTGCAACGCTAGGCATTGACTTTGAGGTTGAGCATGCAAGGGGGATCGAGGAATGCACTAGAGCTAAGCTGAAGAGGACCAGGATTGGTCCTGTCGAACCTGCCATATCTGAAGAGCCCAGTGAACAGTTTCTACAAAGGAGGACCTTTGTTGCTGGTGATTTAGCAATGCTTCACATTATAGTAACGATCACGACTTGCCATACCTACAGCAGATCAGCATCTAGAATATGCCCGGAGGTCAGCTGAAGAGAGCACCTGACTACGTCCTGTACCAGGGACTCAGTCATAGTATTGAATGGCTCATGGTGTCTCTTCGCTTCGGTATCAACGCCGCGCCGGATGATGCATCCAAACGTCCTGGAATCCTGGGGAAATTAGGGCAAGAACGTGAGCACCACATGCAATCAATACTTCACCAACATCATGTTCATGTACGTGCTAAATGTTCGCACTTGAGGGTGCCATGCAGTGCACAATCACAATCAGGCAGGAATGAGCAGTGTTTCCGACAGGGGGTTCCGGACTGGGGAATCTACGGGCAGTGATCGACATCTACATGTATCTTCAAGGTGACGCTCATTGGGCTCACACGGAAGTGGCTTTTCCCCCCAACAAACGAAATCTAATCCATGTCGTGTCATAATCCGCAGAATGCTTTGATCTGCTGGCCGCAGTGCGCCCCTGGGGCGTTGCGCCATAACGTAGTTCTAAACGCAGCCATGGTTTTCAGCCAGGTGAGCAGAAGACTGGACTGCAAATAGACACCTTTTTTTTACCACAGTCAACCCCCTCGTTAGTGAAGAGACCGTATTATAGGGCAGGGTTACAATCACACAATGGAAGTCTCCTTGTAAATATTGTACGCGTACGTGTACGAGTACATTGTACTCAATCTCCGGACAGTGTGTGTTGCAGGGAGTCGAAAAATACCGGTATTTTACGACTCCCTGGTGTGTTGCTATTTCCAAAATATTATTGATCAGGGCACTCTAGGTGACGGTGGCAGGTCATTTTCCCAGTAATCCATTCAAAAGATTGTCTACGCGCCGTTTGTTTAAAATACATACAATACTTGGTGTGTGCGTTGTGTGTTATTTTGGTACAAAGGTCACTTACGGTATCTGCATGCTCTCCGAGGCAATTCGTGTATACCTGAAAGACTGCATGCTGGACATTCACAGTCTAATTTCTCTCACAGCAGGTAACACTGCTGGGAGCCCAAAGCAAAGTTGTCAGGGATAATTG